GGTTTGATTGAGGGTTTAGGGTTTAGCTGAGGGTTTAGGGTTTACGTGAGGGTTTATGAAGGGCTTCAGGGGAGGGCTTTAGTGAGGGTTTAACAGAAGATTCAAACGAGGGTTTAGGGTTTAGGGTTTAGGGTTTAGGGTTTAGGGTTTACCCTTCAGCTAGATTCGCGGTCCTAGTGCCAACTGTAGCACATATGTTTCTAGGGTTTAGGGTTTAGGGTTTACCTAGGTCCTATCAGCCCTTCTCTGCAACTAGTATCTAGGGTTTAGGGTTTAGGGTTTATTAGGGTTTAGGGTTTACCTTTCTGCCAGACTAGCGATCCTAGTAACAAGCGTAGCCCTGAGGTGGGGATCGTTGGCAGCTCTAGGGTTTAGGGTTTAGGGTTTACCTTTCTGCTAGGTCAGCGATACCAGCCCTTCTCTAGAGCTAGGGTTTAGGGTTTAGGGTTTAGGGTTTAGGGTTTACCTTTCCGCCAGACTAGCGATCCTGGTGACGAGCGTAGCTCTGAGGTGGGGATCGTTGGCGGCTCTAGGGTTTAGGGTTTAGGGTTTAGGGTTTACCTTTCTGCTAGGTTAGCGATACCAGCCCTTCTCTACAGCTAGGGTTTAGGGTTTAGGGTTTATTAGGGTTTAGGGTTTACCTTTCTGCCAGACTAGCGATCCTAGTAACAAGCGTAGCTCTGAGGTGGGGATCGTTGGCGGCTCTAGGGTTTAGGGTTTACCTAGGTGCTCGCCCTTTCTAGGGTTTAGTGTTTAGTGTCTAGGGTTTAGGGTTTATTAGGGTTTAGGGTTTACCTTTCTGCTAGACTAGCGATCCTGGTGACGAGCGTAGCTCTGAGGTGGGGATCGTTGGCGGCGCGGAGATGAAGAAGAAGATGATGAACAACGAAAGAAACGTTTTGAGGGTTTGTGAGGGTTGCGAGGAGGTTTAGGGTTTTGAGTTGTAGTGTATCGTCAGTATCATGTAAACAATCTATAATAGTGAGTTTATATTCTTCATCAATAAAATTTTTATAAACCCTCGATAAATATATAAACCCTGATAGACCAATATATCTTAGATTATTATTATTACATAATAAAAATTTTCTTGTTGCTGCTGCTGCTGCTGCTAGTATACGTTGCTGAGGATACACTGCAGCAGCTGTACGTACACCCCAATACACCAATGCAAACCCTACATTTACACTGCAGTCTGCTCGCCTCAACGTCTCTTCTAAAACTAAATATATTTCACAAGATAAAGTAAAGTCGCCGGATGCTAACACTGATAACACTGATAAAATACTCATCTATATATATATATATATATATATATATATAGAGAGAGAGAGAGAGAGAGAGAGAGAGAGAGGGAGAGAGGGAGAGAGAGGGAGAGAGAGATGGAGAGATAGAGAAAGACAGAGAGAGTAAAGAGGGCTTCAGAATATAAGAATACACACACCCAAGCATACATACATACATACATATATACATATATATATATATATATATATATATATATATATATATATAAAGAAAGAAAACTCTCTCTCTATAGAATCTTTGCGTGTGTGTGTGTATGTGTATATACTTCAGAGAGGTACTGCCCAAGGTAGTGTGAGAGTCTGAAGGCAATAAGAGCGGCGTAAGAAGCCAAAAGCCAGTGGTGTACGGGGCGGGCACAGGCGGCGAAGGAATTCCACTCAACAAAAACATCAGAGGAAGAATATAGAAACGCAAACAACAGGATCGCGTCGTTTCTGCATGCAATACACACAAAAAAAATATTATATTTTATTAAAAAGAAAAGAAAAGGAAAGAAGATATAACAGAACAGAACAGAAAAGAAAAAAAAAGAAAATAATATAAAATAAAAAAAAAAGAAAAAAAAAGGAAATTCAGGGTTTTGGTTTTACTGCTGTATTGTTATACGGTGGAATTCTGTTTTTTAGAGATAACACACAAAACTGTATATACACCTCAACTAGAT